GTAAATACTACTACTATTATAATTTTTCAAAAGCTACACATCAACATTTTACAGAATAAAATAAATTGGCATGATAAGAAACTATGATTCTATACAAACATTAAGTTTGCCACTCTGTACTGTAACATGATTAATTTTGTGACACTTGATATGCCTGTCAAAGTTTTTTGACAATTCCTATTGAGAGTCCAATTGTTTACATGTTGAAAACAAACACTGTGCTTGTAGATATTCAAATATTGATCCTAATTAAAACAATCTGCTTCTTCTTCTTCAGCATTCCAAGCCCTTAAGGTTTATTGCTCAGATATCATCTGCCTTGGTTACTTTATCTGCTTGGCCTTCTCTTTTCAGTTGGAAATTATGAGTGTTTGTATGTATGCTTATATCTATATATATAAAAACACACACAAACACACAGTAAATATATAATATCTCTGCCATCTTCTTAGTCTGCTTCATAGTCTGATCTCATTCAGTTCTTTAGTGTACACAGATTGTGTTATCTACCAAAATTTTTATGTCCACACCATAACAGCTTATAGCTCTCATTGTGCCAATAGGTATAATTAGTGATAATTTAAACAGAATAAAAACATTACATAACATTTTTTTTTTAAACTATTAAATACTGTTTAATCCTTGTAAAGATTGACTTGTTTATTTTGAGTACCATTAGTGTTTCAAACTCTGATTATACAAACATGCCATGCTGCTTCCATTAGGAGATACTATAGTTTGACCCCAGTAATTCCACAAATATGCGCTAGACACACTGTATTAACTATAATAGTACATGGACCACCAGCTGAATTGTAAAATCAAACATTATCCAGTATGTATGTGAATTATTTGAAAGCATGTTTAACTGGATGTAAAACCAAGGTAAGGTGCTATCAAAAATGTTCTAATTGCTAATGGACCCCCCCCCCCCCCCCCCCCCCCCCCCCCCCCTTAGAAAATTTACAAGACTAATTTTCATAGCCTCTTCCAAGTTGTGCTGTTTTCTCTCTGTAGATAAGGTGTCTTTTCTAACTCCTCCCTCATAACAACACCTCAAGAATATTAAGATATATTTTTTAAATAGGGAATTGAATAACATATGAAGTACAACATAAAATGGTGTGTAAATAACTTCTAGTAGACTTTTGGACTACGCTATGTAAATCATGAAGACAAAAGTTGACCATTCAGCAGGATGAAAATTTTTTTAACAATGTACTGCCTAGATATTCTGAAAATGACCTTTGAACTGATTGGCATGGACATTAGTTAATTACAGTAAAATATCCGTAGCATGAATTGCTAGGGACCGTAAATCAAGTGCAGTTAAAACAAATGTGTTAAGCAGGAACTAATAACAATAATACATCCCTGTTGGGACCAACATTTTGTTTATGTGACTGACTGACTGACTTTCTACCCCACCAGGACATCACACAAGCGATTAACACCCGATGACACAATGTGCCACCATGTGGATGAGGAACACCGTGGAGAGGTCCCAGAAACCGCGTTCAGCCATTAGGTCGAATTTATGGCAGGGCTATATTGCGGCTCCTGGCAAGAGCCAGAGTAGGGCTTCAAATAATGAAAAATGTCATCCTAAAAAGGACGGGAAGTAAACAATATTTGTTTATGTTAACCAAATTGGTCTTCTTAAGTGAGGTCATATTAACAAGGTTTTACTGTAAATGGCTTAATTAATAGCCTGAAACATAACTAAAAAATCAATCAATCAGATGACAAACATCCCCACAAACAGATTTTATGGAATTTTATATCTTATTTAAGTGTTTGTAAAGGCAAAGAAGTATTATTATCTGTCACGTTGCCTGTTCATAAATATTTTTAGAAGTTTATTTAGCTTCAGACCAGCACTCATAACACTATAGATTGTTCAGACTAATAATTATCTCTTTAAAAAAATAAAATGTTGAATTTGTTTATCATAAAATGATGTCACCTATGTTCTAGCACTTGAGGTATATTAGTATTTCTGTTTCAATTTTCTTTTCTTAACTTGATAAGGCCGATGTGCATCTAACTACATGACAGTATTATAGATTAGCTGAGTACTTGAGTGTGAAAAACACTGTTGTAATAGTTCTTGGAGCATCGGAACATTTTATGTACATTGCAAGTTATTAAAACACTATACCCTTATATGTGTGTAGTTGTCATATCAATATTTATTTATCAGTGTTTCACCATATTTTATCACCATATGTAGGGTGACCATACTCCTATGTTCAGTATGCTATGTTTGTTGTTTACGTGTGCTCTACCCGTCTAGTGGGTACTCACAGGAAATGCTAATTGTCCCGTTTTATTAAAATCTAGGAATCGGCTCAAGAATAGAACATACACTGATATTTGTAGAATTAGATTTCATAGTTTAAGATACTTCAAATGCCTGAACTATTTTGATGAAAATTTTCATTGTAGTATGTTTTTTCATTGCGTTTAAACAGCATATTGTTTCATCTGCATCTTGGTGATAATAGTTCAGGTTTGAATACCATTGTCAATCCAATATGGATCTGCAATATTTAAGTGTATACAGTGCAGTGTGAAGCAGTGGTGACTGGGGTAATGTTAGAATGGCCAGTAAAAAAAAAAAAAACACAAAAACATGCCTGTAGTTTTATCAAGATCTACGGAAGGAATTTCTGAATTCCAGGGACATGATTATTGAATATCTAAAACTCAAAAGACAAATCGTGTGTTTTGTTTCAAACATGCTGGGTTATTTTTTTTTTCATAGTATGATTTGATTTGATTGAAGAACCGATATCACAGCAATTGGGGCATTCGCATAAGTGCTCCATCCCCATCTTCAGCAGCCAGCGAAGAGTTCCGATACTAGCGGTGCCAGTAGCATTCTGATTAAACGTCCGTCTTACCTTTCCTCTGAGCCTCGAGCATCTGCCAGGGCCTTTCGTAACCCCCAACTGCGTCAATCTCACCAGACTGGTGATCAATATGCTCCTCCAAACTCTACAAGCTCTCCCACAAGGCACTAACCACGTCTGCCTTATCATGCATCAGTATTCCACCATGCTGTGCAGAGCCAGTCAGTCTGTCTACCTGTTCATTTCCCAACACACTGGCATACCCTAGTGAAAAAATCCAGACAATACTCCTCACTAGTATTTTCTGCAGTGAAGCATGCCACTCTGCACGAAGCATGCCTGTCCTGATCTTCCTCAGCATGCTTTCTGAGTCAGTTACAATCACAATGTGTGTGTGTGTCGTGTTCTCTAGCCAGCGGAAAGCCGCAGTGACCCCCTCCACCTCCATTCTTAAGCTGGATGTTGTGGTATCATATGCTAGGCTCTCCTGCACCAAATGTCGACCATTAACTTTTGTTAAGAAACCGCAAGAACTTCTTTTGCCTCTTGACACTGAACCGTCTTTGTAAACGATCAAATCTTCATTATCTTGAATTAATTGCTGAATTTCCACCTCTGTAGCACCTGCTGGCCAGTCTCTGCAGTCCCGGCTCAGTGTGATTATGACCATACACAAGTCTGACTGTTCAGCTGGCACTTTTTAGTATTGCATGAGGGAAGTAGTGATATACTCATTCCCAAAAGCACAAAGACGTTGAGAAATTAGATTTTTGCTAGTGAAAGCATGTTTGCATATCATACATACAACATGGACATTGCTCTTCTGTTCCAGTGACTGTACATCTAAATAAATACATAAAATGTATGAACCAAAATATTCTGGGGTGTGCTAAGATTGAAGCAATTGTGTATAATAAGTTAGTGTCCTTGTTTCTGGAAGAGGTGGGGAGTAATTTAAAAACTAGCTCTAGCATTGTTTTGAGTACAGAAGCTTCCAACAGTATATCTGAAAAGCTGTTTCCTGTGTTAGTGAGATTTCTTTCTCCCATAGACAACACTAAAATAGTTGAATTCCCTTCACTGCCAGGTGAAACCTCTTGAACTGAAATGTTTATGGTTAGAAAAGGTAATAGCAATCTATGGTTTGCAGGATAAAACTGAAGGACTTTCTATCAACAATACTATCATGAACTTTGGCAATGTTGACAGCATGTGGTGAATAATATTGTGGCAAAGCTACAATATAAGTTGGACAAAAAAACTAACTGGCATCAGTTGTGGCACGCAGCAGGTGATTGTCTTTCTTACTATAAAGTTCTGTAGTGAAAGTGTATGTTTTTTCATAATTATGCTGTTGAGCAGAGAAAGTGAAATCATTTTGTGATTTTATGCTGTCCAGTATGCTAGACTTTTGGAACATGTAAATACTTGTGTGTGTGTGGGTCATCAGGACCTGTTTAAACACATCTTAAACCTTTCAGTTGTACTGCGCTACTACTTTCTTTTGCAGGAGAAGCTTCTAATTTTTTTATTATATTGCTGACATGGTTGATACTTTCTATTACACTAGCTTGGAATACCTTAATCAAATGTAAACTAGCTGTGGCAGAGCTGATATACTTCAGTGGATTCTTTGTGAGGTTATACCTAGATCTTCTAAAATTAAAACTAACACCTTCACTATTTATAATACATAAGTGAAAGCCACATATCCTTTCTAGTTCAGAACATAAAGCTAGACTATTTGATCTCTGGCAATGTGCAGAAGAAATCGTAACAGATTCAAAAAACAAAACTAAAAGTAAAAAATTGTTTGTGTGGCAAACAGGTGGGTGCAATTGTTTAATTAGTTAGAAGATGAACAAATTAGGTAAGAGATCCTTCTCAGAGCTGTGGAAATAGTGTTATGCTTGACTAGTGTATCTAACCCTGTAGAACAGGTTTTTCCATAATGAACACTGTGTGGACAAGAGACAAATCTTGCCTGAATGTCTCTCAAATGGAGTATATCCTGTTGGTAAACGTGAATTTTAAAGACACATTTGGGGACTTTTATGAAAGACTGATAAAGAATAAAGCTTTTCTAAAAAAAACCTTTGTTCTTCTGATGAATACTTTTTTGGGATGGACCACAAAATCAGCATGATGGATGGAGTTCACAACATCAACATGATGGATAGAGTCCACAACATCAACATGATGGATAGAGTCCACAACATCAACATGATGGATAGAGCCCACAGCATCAACATGATGGATGGAGTCCACAACATCAACATGATGGATAGAGCCCACAGCATCAACATGATGGATGGAGTCCACAACATCAACATGATGGATAGAGTCCACAGCATCAACATGATGGATAGAGTCCACAACATCAACATGATGGATAGAGTCCACAACATCAACATGATGGATAGAGTCCACAACATCAGTATGATGGATGGAGTCCACAGCATCAACATGATGGATAGAGTTCACAACATCAACATGATGGATAGAGTTCACAACATCAACATGATGGATAGAGTTCACAACATCAACATGATGGATAGAGTCCACAACATCAACATGATGGATGGAGTCCATAACATCAGTATGATGGATGGAGTACACAGCATCAACATGATGGATAGAGTTCACAACATCAACATGATGGATAGAGTTCACAACATCAACATGATGGATGGAGTCCACAACATCAACATGATGGATGGAGTCCATAACATCAGTATGATGGATGGAGTCCACAGCATCAACATGATGGATGGAGTCCACAACATCAACATGGTGGATGGAGTCCACAGCATCAACATGATGGATGGAGTCCACAACATCAACATGATGGATGGAGTCCACAACATCAACATGATGGATGGAGTCCACAGCATCAACATGATGGATGGAGTCCACAACATCAACATGATGGATGGAGTCCATAACATTAGTATGATGGATGGAGTCCACAACATCAACATGATGGATGGAGTCCACAACATCAGTATGATGGATGGAGTCCACAGCATCAACATGATGGATGGAGTCCACAACATCAACATGATGGATGGAGTCCACAGCATCAACATGATGGATAGAGTTCACAACATCAACATGATGGATGGAGTCCACAACATCAACATGATGGATAGAGTTCACAACATCAACATGATGGATGGAGTCCATAACATAAACATGATGGATGGAGTCCACAACATCAGTATGATGGATGGAGTCCACAACATCAACATGATGGATAGAGTTCACAACATCAACATGATGGATGGAGTCCACAGCATCAACATGATGGATGGAGTTCACAGCATCAGCATGATGGATGGAGTCCACAGCATCAACATGATGGATAGAGTTCACAACATCAACATGATGGATGGAGTCCACAGCATCAACATGATGGATGGAGTCCACAACATCAACATGATGGATGGAGTCCACAACATCAGTATGATGGATGGAGTCCACAACATCAGTATGATGGATGGAGTCCACAACATCAGTACGATGGATGGAGTCCACAACATCAGTATGATGGATGGAGTCCAAACATCAGTATGATGGATGGAGTCCACAATATCAGTATGACGGATGGAGTCCACAACATCAGTATGATGGATAGAATCCACAACATCAGTATGATGGATGGAGTCCAAACATTAGTATGATGGATGGAGTCCATAGCATCAGTATGATGGATGGAGTCCACAACATCAGTATGATGGATAGAGTCCACAACATCAGTATGATGGATGGAGTTCACAACATCAGTATGATGGATGGAGTCCAAACATCAGTATGATGGATGGAGTCCACAATATCAGTATGATGGATGGAGTCCACAGCATCAGTATGATGGATAGAGTCCACAACATCACTATGATGGATGGAGTTCACAACATCAGTATGATGGATGGAGTCCACAACATCGGTATGATGGATGGAGTTCACAACATCAGTATGATGGATGGAGTTCACAACATCAGTATGATGGATGGAGTCCACAGCATCAACATGATGGATGGAGTCCACAGCATCAACATGATGGATGGAGTCCACAACATCAACATGATGGATGGAGTCAACAGCATCAACATGATGGATGGAGTCAACAGCATCAACATGATGGATGGAGTCCATAACATCAACATGATGGATAGAGCCCACAACATCAACATGATGGATGGAGTCCACAACATCCACATGATGGATGGAGTCCACAGCATCAGCATGATGGATGGAGTCCACAACATCAGCATGATGGATGGAGTCCACAACATCAACATGATGGATGGAGTTCACAACATCAACATGATGGATAGAGTCCACAACATCAGCATGATGGATGGAGTCCACAACATCAGCATGATGGATGGAGTCCACAACATCAACATGATGGATGGAGTCCACAACATCAACATGATGGATAGAGTTCACAACATCAACATGATGTATAGAGTCCACAACATCAGTATGATGGATGGAGTCCACAACATCAATATGTTATTCAACAGGTTTGTTCAACTGAAGACATAGAAGGTGGAGAATGGTTGTGAGTGTCAACAGAGTGGTGTACATCCTTTTCAGTCTGCATTAAACTGGACAGAGAATGCAGACAACGAAGCCTGTTGCTGGGTGAGGCAACAAGTTCAAGTCTTTAATTCTTGCTAATTCTGCTAACAAAGGTGCATTTATATACACCGATTGGTTCATTGTTCAACATGTACAAAGTTCATGGGCTTTTGTGGTTCTGGTTAGAGAAAAGGTAGTGGTACTTTTGCCTCAACTACAAATAGTCTGACTCGGGAGGCAATGGCGGTAACAAGAGCACTGATGTTGTTAGAGACCCAGAATCTTTCCCTAGCATGCTTTCTAAGTGATTCTATGAGTATGTTTTTTGTTGGCACAGGAGCGAACCAACTATGTGGTGACCCATTTGCTATGAAGTTGATTACAAGATTCCATGAGCATACTATAAAGATTGAGACAGTATGGATTTGAAGAAAATAGTTGCAGTCGCTGAGGAAATCTTGTCTGAAAGCAATCATTTTCATTTTTGTCATAGGGCTCTCTGGGAATGAACGAGCCGACTGGCTTGCTGGCAGGGCTATGGTAGGTACCGAAAAAGCAATGGACCAGACTGACATTCTCAGTGCTCTCAAGAAGACAGGATAAGAAGATGATTTGAGAGACGACAGTGTGTCAGAAACACTCAAAAGACTACAAGAATTCAGGTCAAAATACAAGAATTTGAGGTCAAAACAGGTGTCACCAAATATGAAAACTACACAGGAAGCCAAAGAAGAATAGTAAACCAACACAGAAGTGCTGATATCAGTCACCACACACTGAAGGATATACTGAAGATAGAATCGGAGCACTTATGAACTTGTCCGATGTGCAGTGCAGATAATCTGTCAACTAACTAACTAAACTAACCAACACTACCTAAATCAGCGCAGTGCAGATAATCTGTCAACTAACTAACTAAACTAACCAACACTATGTAAGTCATCTGAGATTTTAATAATTATTACAATTATTATGGCTTATACAGTCTGTAGGTATATAGATATCTAGTTCTTAAAATGTGTAAGTTCCTTAATGACTAATAATAATTAATATTATACAAAAATTTGAGAATAATTTTGTGTGTGTGGAGGGGGGGGTGACTTTTGTTATAACTGTCTTGCTTGGGATCTCTCATTTTTAGCTGAAAATATTATTATCATCTGATAAATTTGTTGCATAACTTTTGTTGACAATATTTAGAATTGTATTTGTAATTTTGCTCGTCTCTAACTGTAATTGTAATTTGTTATTAAATTGTGCTTGTTCATTGTAAACATTTTATGAATATAATTGCCAGTGTAAGCATAATTATCTTCTATTGTCAAAAATATAGTTTTGTTTGTATGGCTTTGGTTTCCCTGTAAAACATTCATATGAACATATACAGTTTTTAATCTCAACTTAAATCATCTATTGCCGATCACAATTACAAATATATTATTTACTTATAAGAAATTTTGCATTTAAAAACATCTTGTTTATGTTCTACATCTATAAAATAATAGCAAGCAGTTTCAGTTTATATGACACACAAATGGCACCATGAAAAATGTACTGTGTTTGTAGGCACCTCGGCTCTGTGGCTAAGTCGATGTGAATGCTTCGTAATGCCGGGGTGCCGGGTTCGATCCCAGCTGCGGGCCATGCGCCTTGTGTTGGTTTCGACAGTAGCATGTGATTAACATTAGATTTTTATTTATCGTCAAGTCTTCTATAACAGAAACAACAATTTGCCGGTGTTAGGGCCTACTAAAAAATAAAATAATAAGGAATTAACATAACAGTAAAGTTTCATCATCATATTTGATCACTGAGTCACATGGAGATGCTACATTGGTCTAAAGTATCATCATCATATTTTATCACTGAGTCACGTGGAGATGCTACATTGGTCTAAAGTATCATCATCATATTTGATCACTGAGTCACATGGAGATGCTACATTGGTCTAAAGTATCATCATCATATTTGATCACTGAGTCACATGGAGATGCTACATTGGTCTAAAGTATCATCATCATATTTGATCACTGAGTCACATGGAGATGCTACATTGGTCTAAAGTATCATCATCATATTTTATCACTGAGTCATGTGGAGATGCTACATTGGTCTAAAGTATCATCATCATCATATTTTATCACTGAGTCATGTGGAGATGCTACATCGGTTTAAAGTATCATCATCATATTTGATCACTGAGTCACATGGAGATGCTACATTGGTCTAAAGTATCATCATCATATTTTATCACTGAGTCACGTGGAGATGCTACATTGGTCTAAAGTATCATCATCATATTTGATCACTGAGTCACGTGGAGATGCTACATTGGTCTAAAGTATCATCATCATCATATTTTATCACTGAGTCATGTGGAGAGGCTACATTGGTCTAAAGTATCATCATCATATTTGATTACTGAGTCACGTGGAGATGCTACATTTGGTCTAAAGTATCATCATCATATTTTATCACTGAGTCATGTGGAGATGCTACATTGGTCTAAAGTATCATCATCATATTTTATCACTGAGTCATGTGGAGATGCTACATTGGTCTGAAGTATTATCATCATATTTTATCATGTGGGGATGCTACATCGGTCTAAAGTATCATCATCATATTTTATCACTGAGTCACGTGGAGATGCTACATTGGTCTAAAGTATTATCATCATATTTGATCACTGAGTCACATGGAGATGCTACATTGGTCTAAAGTATCATCATCATCATATTTTATCACTGAGTCATGTGGAGATGCTACTTTGGTCTAAAGTATCATCATCATATTTTATCACTGAGTCATGTGGAGATGCTACATTGGTCTAAAGTATCATCATCATATTTTATCACTGAGTCATGTGGAGATGCTACATTGGTCTAAAGTATCATCATCATATTTTATCACTGAGTCATGTGGAGATGCTACATTGGTCTAAAGTATCATCATCATCATATTTTATCACTGAGTCACGTGGAGATGCTACTTTGTTCTAAAGTATCATCATCATATTTTATCACTGAGTCATGTGGAGATGCTACATTGGTCTAAAGTATCATCATCATCATATTTTATCACTGAGTCATGTGGAGATGCTACATTGGTCTAAAGTATCATCATCATCATATTTTATCACTGAGTCAGGTTGAGATGCTACATTGGTCAAAAGAAGGAAATAAACAGTGAATAAATAATGAGGATGTGCATTCTCAACATCTGACAGAAATCATAAAACCAAAAGTGTATTAGATTATTATTATAATATAGTGTTAAAATGTATAAAGCTTAAAAATTATTTTGTTTAGTAAATAATTGTTTTTTATGTTTATATTAATTCATCTTCAAAGTTTAAACACAATAAAAGATTCTATTGAATCTACCTAAATAGAAATAAAATTATTTCTCTTCATCTAGTGTCTTTATGAAAAAGAATGATAAAGAATGATTAAGAGTGGAAAACACTTTTCCTGTAATGAAGAAATTTCATTCATATTTCATGTCTACCTCACCCACTTTCTAATAATTACAAGTTTATGATATTTTAGGCAGCCAAAAACTGTTTTCTGAGTATGTCAGATATACTACTCATATATAGCCAACCACACAACTAATGTCTGCACAGAGAGTTGACCTGCAGATATGATAATGTGCCTGTTTTCGGTCCCAGATGGTGAAATGTATTTGCTTCAAGTTTTCATGAATTAATTATGAAAGTTATATATGTAAATTTCCTAGATATAAAAAAAAAAACAGACTTGAATCACAATATTTATATTATTATTATTTATCGCAGTCACTGATGCTGGGTTACATTTAATTAAGGGATCACATCTGGGAGGCCAGTCAGCTTATTTATTTAAAAAAAAAAAAAAATTCAGTTGCAGTTAATAGCACTCCAGTCACTATCCACAGTGTTCTCTCTTGCCATGTTTACCTCTTCCTTAATTTTCCAGTGTCTTTCTTCTATATTCTCCTTATTTGTG